AGTGACAGGCAAATCCGAAACCGGATGCCGTCAACCATGTATATAGACCGCCGGCGTCAGATGGACCAATATTTCCTCCAACATACGAAACAACCAGTCTGTATTTAACAGTTGGCATTGTGCTGCAATACTTGAGTAAAATCAACAACCAGCGAAAATGTTAGGAAGGTTTATGTGTTGCGTTGATAGTGAGCTTCCCGGTTACTCAGGTCGGGGAAGAGGATTGACTTAAGGGACCTAACCCCGAGCTTTTGGTCTTAAAGACCTGATCCGCAAGACAGCGGGGCAATTCACGCAGGTTTATGAATACGAAGACCGTTGACAACCAAGTGGCTCATTCGCCTTCATTGTATTCGGTAGCAGTGCCCACAGAGGCCGGTGGCCAGCGAGGTTGCTCATCCGCTCTCCATTAGGTACTCATCTCTGGGTACAAAAGTGAGTGGTCAGTGACCCTATAGCCGGTCACACTGGCTTTGACTCAGCGCTAAACGAGCTCCTGTGGTATTTGATGAAGAACCAGGTGACCAGAAAAGAACTCCCTAAGCTTTAAAACGCTATTGCTGATTTTCCGCGACAGCTTATTCATCTCGCTTGCAAAGCAGACGAGCTTTATTCACAGCTGCCTCCACAAGGAAGGAATTCCTCGATCCGCCATCTGGGGACGCGTTCGACAGCTTTCAGTTCCATCAGGATGAAGAAACTTTGATACTGGGAGCATTAGTGGTGGTTCGCTTGGGTTCGTCCGATTGCTTTCCTGATTGTGACATATTGCTTTTTCCTTCCAGGGCAGGTGCCCCAGTTATAATACAATCCGGTGAGAACGCCGAAAAAATGAGACACTGTAAAGGTAGATCAATATGACTATAAAATAGAGTAGAGTGCATTGGTGGGATATGAGAGCAACAAAGGAACCTTATATTTAGCCTTCACCTTTGGTGTTTTGTCCTTCTCCTCCTAATCGTACAAGAATGTTGCTCTGAAAGGCAAACTGGTAAGTACCGTCAAGTTAACAATCTTCCGTTACATAAACATATAGCACGTTTCATCTTGTAGTTAGCTTAGATCGGTTTAATCGCAAAGACGGTATCCGACGTAGTAGTAATAGTGGTGAGAAGTGGCTATACAAAAGAAACTCTCCACTTTACATCTGAAATCCAACATAATGTACAGATACAGGTTTCAGTAAATCTTAGCCGTGTTTCCAAAGTTACCGGTTTGGCTCCTTTTGGCTTAAATACCACTATGTTCACATATAGTGCTTTAGCTCGATAGTTGTCTAGCTTCTAAACCATAAACATTGAGAATCTCGGCAGACCGATGTTCAATCGCTCACGCATTTGCTGGACGAATTGTTCATCTGACCAGTTTATTGATCCATTCAAATTGGCACAGTTAGCCAACCTTTCGAATTGTCCACCTGAGGGTATTACACCATCTGCACCCAGATGGCCCAATGGATTTCGCCATTCACTGTATTGTTGTTTATGCACAACCTCAAAAGGACAGCCACACAGATAGAGTGTAACACTATGCACCTATTCGAGTTCTTTCTAACGTATTCCAACGTCACAAATGATGATTATGCGGCTGTAGGCATGGCTTACCATTCGCAACAGACCGAGACTCCCCAGTGGATAGCGTATACAGTCCGTCAGCCCATCATAATTTCCAGTGTAATCACTATGGATATCGTGACTGGGAGGAAGTTACAAAGCTGCCAGGTCCGTAAGAACAATGCTGAATTTTGTTGTATACTCAGTGAACAGCCACAAGGAGACCACGATCCTCCTCAATGCACCGATGACGTCTTAGTCTATAACACCAATTACGAGGAGTTGGAATATGATGTGATATATAAGAAACGGCAGGGCAAGATTGATTTTGCTAGATCGTTTATTCGCTTCGACTTGGAAACACCAAAAGGGCTGGTTAGTTACATGTCGAATCACGAAGGCAGAGATGGTCGGGTGGTCTGTCCGCAGTTCGCGCAGCGATACTGGAGCCAACCACCAGAGCTGGCCGATTGGTTAACAAATGCACCGAATCCTGGCTTTATTAACTGGGGTAACCTGGTGCCAGCTGTGCCAGTTGTAGAATTCAATCAAGTGCATATACGAGTGTTCGGATTTGCCACCACAGATCACATTTACCGAGCTTGGCAAATCAGTTATAACCCACTATATAAAGACTTTCAAATGACGAAAATCCCATGGACTATGGATACCGACCTAGATACAGAAGATGGTCTGATGGGACAATTGACACGAGCCATTCAGTGGCATCCAAACTACCGTCAGAACCTACGTGGGTGGAGAAGTACTTTTCAAGTTAAGCGACATGCACGTGCCTTCGTGCTCCTTCTCAGTGAATCACTTGAGATGGACGAAGAAATTAATCAGTTGATGCAGGCGTGGATCGTGCTAGGCAACAAAGGGAAGAAATTTGTTTGGCCAGATACGTTACAATCACCTGCTATTCGTATTGTTGGACTGAGAGTGATGAGAAAGGCAGTGTTGCAAGAAGGGGAGACCAAAATATTTTGGGCTGAAAAGGAGCACATCCGCGCAGATTCAAAAGTAACATGTTACAAACGTCAAAATTTCACACACCAGTATGCAATGACAAAGCGTGTTATTGTCAGTCCTGGCACACCGTATTTTGAAATTCGAAATCTGACCATCTCGGATAGTGGAATGTACAAGTGTATTGCAACCTCAGAGAAGTCTCCCGAGTACCAGTTTTTCTCAGACTACTACATCATTGTCCTACCTCGTGAAATGGATGTACAGAACTACCTGACGCAAAGACCACTGAAAACGACAGATCCCGTTGAGGACAACTATCAGTACGTAGACGTGATGAATCGATCATATTTTATCGGTAACAATCCTATATATGTCAATTGTGTTTATTTACTATCCACCGGTCTGGACAACTACAACGGCTACCGAACGTATCGTGATGGAGAGGCACTGGCGTCGTCCAAAATGATAAGTGAATTCCATCGATATTATGCAACACTCATTCTGACAGTAAGGACATTTGAAATGCTACCAGACCGCTCAAGTGATCCGGTCACCACGAAGGTGACGTGCGCTCACCACTACAAACCCGATCTGGACACTGTAAAGCAATATCCACTGGTGCCAACTCAACTGACTCACATTAACAAAACGCGAACATTGGTTACAGCGGGACACAGACCGCCTCTTATTGTGACCGCGTCCATCTGGACCAACAACCCGGACTTAACGGAGCACCTGCGGATGTCAACACTTACTCTAGATGATCTGTACGGAATACCACATCCGCAGATTCCATGGAGCAAGGTGGCAGTTGGTGTGGTAAGTGGATCCTTCATCGCGTTGGTCAGTGCCAGGGGCGGTTGGGGATCCGTGTCCATGTGTGTCAGAGACACGCAACAGCAACAGCTGCATCGGTGGCCGTGCGCTTTGACAACCTCATTACTGACATTGTGGGCAAACGACCCACTTCTGACGGAGCCGGAACTAACGCAATCACACACTCTGGTCGCCATGAGGTTCCAGTTTGAGTGCATAATGGCAATGGGTCGGGAGAGCTTGATTTTTGGGGTGTATAACCCGAAGAAAGACAATGTGAACATGACACTGGTGGAGCAAATCACTCATGATCAAATCGAAGCGATACTCACCCAGCATTATGGCGAGGAGAGCAGATTTGGAGTGGACAGGCGTGGGGAAGTATCTGCCACATTTAGATTAGTTCGACTACTAGTCAGATGGCATGGAACCGTCTATCCGGGTGCGACAGTTAAATTGAGTTGGCGCTCAGCGCAGCATAAGACGGAAGAATTGAAATGCTTCTATAGCATAGACGAAACGGCAACGCTGGTGGAACTTGGGGCTGAATTCAAATATAGCTTGGAGAACGCTGAATCAGTGCTAGAAGTTTCGAAAGAGAATGTCAACGAACAGGACTCGGGGCTCTATCGATGTGCTCCATGTCGCAACTGCTCGGCTCTCAACGAAGCAGTGGTGTACCGCCTGGTCGTATTGCCCGATTTGTCCCAACTACGAATCTCATTAGACTATGGAAACGCCCCTCATATTAGCGGTTCAGGTACTTTAGAGGATCCAATTCGGACTGAAGCGCAGCACTTAAAAGCCACGTGTTCTTACATGGCCTATCGCGGTTTACGAGGACAATTTGAAATAACCCACTCATACGAAACTGCTATCCCTAACAGCACTGAGCATTTCTCACTGGAAACTCAGTTGGGTAGGAAGAAAATGGATGTGGTTGATGATTATTATCGCCTAGTACACACGTTTGTCTTTCAAAAGCCCAGAGCACAAGAATACTGGGCCTACGTTCGTGCCAGCTGTCATCTATCGTTCAGTAATGTGACACGGGATCCCCTCGATATTTTAGATGCCTCCCCAAACATTACTGCAACAAAAAGCATCTATTTAACGTATAAATTATCTCGCGGCCCAGTCATCTTGACTGGCTTCATGGAAACAAATCTAACATCACTGACTGCTGAACTGCAGGGCAATGAGTATTTTTCGGTTGACGCTGTCCCCTTTCTGCGACCAATACGCGAATCTGAAACCGCTGTCACAGTGAACTACACCATATTCATGGGGTTACCAATGGGAGCTACAAGAGTGTGGGTTGTTGTTCATCTGGACGATGATTATCACGCTTACGATTGTCATCTGGTGCACAGTACTGAGCTCGACGATTCTCATATGACCACGAACTTGGTGTCTAGCCCAATCTTTCGAGCGAATAGAGGCATCAACTTCTTCCGACAGGAGTACGCCTGCCTGCTAGAGATTCACACAATCCTTCTCGTGGTCAGTACATATGAATATATGCAAGATCAATCAACAGATGCTCTGGATGCGAATCTGAAATATAGTGTTGTCACGCGGATGAAAAATCATAACGAAATGATGGAGAGAAGGCATCCATCTGTGACAAATGCAACAATTAATCTCAATAATACTACCACTTTCAGGGCTGCTCGATTATCTATCGTTTGGCATGCATCTCTGCAGGTGGGTCAATCGGCCAGTATGCTGGGTCTCCAAGCCCCACGCGCAAATCGGCTACAGTGCTACTACAGTAGAAGCGATCGAGGTGGGGCATTTCTACCTATTCGGGAGTATCAAACAGATTACCACGCGTGGAATGCGTTTATATTTCAAAAGCGGTTGTCTAATGTTCAATATGCCCAATCTGGCACCTACAAGTGCAACACATCCCAGCCGTGTGTTGGCTGCGTCCCCCTGGTGGGCATCGTCCCAAGACAGATGGTCGTCCTTCCAACTGAGTCTGTACTCAGCATGAAGCTGAGTCTTGAACCCCTTCCGTCGCATGCTTTGTCAGTTGAACGGTTTGACCAATACACAGCCGACGGTGTACCATACTTAGAGAGCGGACAAAAAGCAATTGTTCAATGCATATACGAGATTTCACCGATCGAACGCTTACAGGCAGAACTGACAGTCTCCTTTGAGATCTTTGATCCGAACAGAGGACGAACAAAGCACTTGCCTGTGAAGGTGCGTCAGAACGAGACCAAAACAGTCGGTGGAGACACGAAATTTGCAACTGTAACTTATATGATACAGGCGCCTTATATGCACCAAATTCTATCACGAATTGAGTGTCGCTTAACGTACCGTCCCGGTCGAATATCGCATGATGCGGCTTCACCGGTGGGAATAATGCAGATTGCAAAGTCCAAAGACATTCTCATATTCATCAGCGAAGCTCCAGACCTATTCTTTGCTTACGTGGTCACGAAACGGAGAGAAATCGTGGCTAACTGGAAACCCATGTCACTGCAGGGAGCAAGCGCAATTGAGTTCCACAGTTCCAGCTCTGTGAATGCCATCGAGGAGGACATCGACTACTTCCATTGCATACAATCGCTAGGTATGCCCAAAGGGGTGTCCAAAGTATGGACAGTGTATCAGTACGAAAAAAAGTTGGATTACGATGAGTGTCGGATGACGCAAACAAGGCAATTGAGAAAGGACGAAACGCTGTTCTTGGAACATCAAGCGCGAATAGAGGGTGACCTCCGTAATCTTGTCAACAACACATACTCCTGCGTACTTCAACCAAGACACATTGCCATTATATTCATCATATACAATGCTCTAGAGGAAAATGCCAAGATCCAAGAAGCAGAGACACAGATGATCAGGTCGCTCCTGTACCACATAAATCAATGGCTGAGTGAACCTCTGAATCCCGAGCGGCTCAGAATAAAGGCGCCCGACCATCTACGTGTTACCTATGAAGTAATCAAACTAAACATCAAGTGGAGGAACGTAGTCGCTATCGGTAGTCCTTGGAGGATACTTATCAGAGACTTTCCCACACCAAACGTGAGCCTTACTATATTTTATCAGAAAAACAAGTATGATCGAGGAATCCCATGGGCTCATGTGGTAGGGGGAATAAACGGGACTTTCGTAGGATCAAGCAACGCCAGATTAAATGATTCCGGCGTCTACTCCTGCGTCGTTGTCACCGGATGTGATGACTGCCGGCTGAAAAAGTGCTTCTTGCCCAGGCGCCTGCTAATCATGCCCAACTCGTCCATGCTGCAAATGTACCTGCACGAACGCCTAGTTGAGCAAAAGCAAATGTTCAATGATGAACTACCCAGTAATCGGGTTGGCACTGGACAAACATTCTACACTTATTGTGTCTACACAAAACCGAGTATATTTAGTTCCGACGAAGAATTAACGTTTCGAGTTGAATTAGAGCCGACTTCCACAGAACCGCGAAGATTGTTCACTCCTGCTCCACTACAGTACCTTCGTGAACACACACCGCATGGAACCAGTGTTGCAGTTGTGTTTAACTTTACAGCACCAAGAACTAGCGAATCACAAAGTATTTTGAATCTTGAGTGCATACTGCAATACGATCATTCCAACTTGGATGCATCGGGTCTGTTCACTGCAAATCTACTGCGACCGATTCACACCAGACGTCGAATAAAAATCAGCCTACGTTTAAAACCCGCTATATTTCTGCAATACATCAGTGCTGGTGATTCAAAAGTGTTGAAGTGGCTGTCCACCTCATTATCTGAACCGCTCAGCCCGTCAGCATTTCATAGCACACGGCCGGATTTCTTGATTCCTGAAGGTGAGCTGTGGTTTAGCATACTTGCTTTCCACGGTGTACCTAGGGGGTGGATCTACGCCACCTTGTTCGTTGCGCATAATGGCACCTTCTTCGAGGAAGTTTGCATAGTTGATAGGCAGAATAACTTGACTCAGTACTCGATCCCGCATGATGTGATCAGAGACCCCGCTGTACAACAAGCGCGCGCGATCGACTCCATCGTTTGGACCAGATTCCAATGTAATGTCCGTGTAGAACATTGCTGCCTAGTCATTCTAGTGTATGCAGATATTTCTGGTGCGAGCCGAGAGCAGATGCTAACTGAGTACGTGAGTGCGATTACATCGTGGCTACAAAAAGTTTTCGCTGATCCAGAAAGTAAGGACACGCTAATCGTGGGAACTTCGTCACCCTCATTTGTTGTGTACGTAGCTGCCAGGATAACCGTTGGATGGCAAGCCTCGGTGTCACCCGGTGACACGATTCGCATGACTGGCCACATTACGTCAGTGAGGGATCAGCTGAATTGTTCTTATCGTCCGCAAATGAACGCAAAGCTAGAACCACTTCCTACAGGATTTAGTTTCGAATACCTGCGGTATCCGATCACCTTCGATCTAGTCAAAACAAATGCAAGTCTCGAAGATGCTGGTATTTATTCTTGTACATTCACGCAAAGCGATTGTGTTCAATGTATGCCGCGGCCAAGCATCATCGACCGTCGATTGGTCGTTATTCCAGACTCATCTGCTGTCTACATATTCCTCACACACAAAGCGCTGAGCGTCATCGATAGCTGGACTGCCAATTATACAGTGTGTGATGCGGATAGCCAGCCAATAATGTATACGGATTCAGTGAACTACGTCAACTGCCTACACCAAAACCTCCCCAATGCGTGGCTAACACCGACAGTAGAGATACGTCCACGAGTGGTGGATGGAGAAAGTCAGGATGAAGTGGTAATTTTACGTCGTTTAACACCCCTATCCAATGCACACCATATGGTGCTGAACGCGGCACAAGTAGAACTGCTTCAAATTCGGGATAAAGAAATTGCCTTGA